GATAAACATTCTCTTTCCCATCCTTCTCCTCCTTCTTCCCTCCTTCTTTTTTTGCATTTCCGATCATACAAAAATCTCCAGACATTATATATTTTTCGCCAAAAAGTGGGGGGGCCCGGGCCCCCCCCGGTTCCGCCGGCCATGATAATATTTGTCTTGTACCGGTACTATATTTTAGGCCAATTTACCGTAAAACCTCGAATTGAAGCCCAGTGGGCTTAATCTTGAGAAGAAGCCCATCTCAAATTGAAGTCCCCCTCTTTGCAAAATTAGCTTCGAAAAGAAGCCCATATAGGCTTCATTTCAAGATAGCATAGTCTAGGTTTCTTTTCGAGATAGTAAAGTACACTGTGCATGAATTTCTGAAAACAAAATAAATTAAAAACAAGCTTGGTTTGTAATTGTACATTATTTTAGGTGATTTAATGCCAGATAAATACACTCCATAATACAGATTGATGTTACATTGACCTTATTTATTGTCTAATTGTACAAAATTTCACAAAATTTACAGCACTCATTTTGAAAAGAAGCCCCCTCTTTACTTTGCAGAAGTAGTCTTGAAAGAAGCCCATCTCGAAAAGTAGCCCACCTCGAGGAGAACCCCATCCAAAAAGAAGAAGCCCAGGGCTTCAATTCAAGGTTTTACGGTATGGTATTGTTATACTGATGATAAATCAGGCTTAACCAGGATTTCTTAAGGCCGAAGGGTAGCCTAGTTCTCCTTCACATTAATACTTGAAGCCCCAACCCTTAAGCACTTTGCCCTTAAGCATGTTTTGCCCCATCACCTTTAGTCTGTACCCCCATCATCTCCTTTTTATTAATACTCATACTATTAACTATCCAACTTTTGTTATCTAATTCTACTTTCTTCTCCACAGGTGGGCTACCAGTATGTCCAATCTATGTTGATGGTAGTAATGCTGTGAATGAGGAAGTGCCAAAATGAAAAAGAATTGCATCCACAATTGTGTACTCTGCATGGAGTTTTCATTTTATATTCTTGTTTTTATGTCAGTGATAAGCACCGTCTATCTATACTTCTTCTTTGAGAGTCCTAAAATCTTCTATCAAAAACAACGGACAAATATCGATTCTGTTCAGGTAAAAAACTAATAAGTTTGTACTTTAATACTTGCTGTGTTTAATAATCTGATTATGATTTTAACCAATGTTTTTTCATGTAAAAAGTTTTACACAGACCAATACAGTAAGCCAGTTTGTAGTTTGAACAGAGCATGCCAGTATCCAAGGTCAATCAGAATACACCTTATATTTGTTAATGTCAGTGACCTCAATTGGGCATGTGCAGTACAAACTACGAATTGGCTTATAACTATTTTGAAGGTCAAAGGATATTCAGCAAAGCTCAGTCCACTAAACTATTAGTAGCCACTGTGTGCACTGCACTAATGGAGATCCTTTTCGACATTTGGGTCCTGGTCCAGTTCTTTCCCTGCTCTCCTCTGTATTCCAGCTCTAGCACTGAAATGGAAGTTACAAATTAGCGCATCTTTGGTCTTTTGTGTAACACTATGCATGTTAAAGAGGGCAGTACACTCTTTGGAAAAGGATAAGGATTGTCTTGCGCTAATTCTTTAAATAATTTATGTCTAAGACGTGCAATGTTTACATAGTTCTTTTTTCCATCTAACTCTCTGTAGGGAAAATTTCCCGCCGAAAAATAAACACGAATGGTACTGGGTAAAAGTAACTTGATTTCTTGCTTTGAACAAGGTATCCATTCGTAGAAATCGTAGATAAGCCTATCGGGGTTATATTTGCTTTTTAAAATCCTTAATTTACAAAACATACACTTTTATGTGCACCATTCTCCTTGACAATCATATGATGACAATTTTTCTTTTTCATTTAAAACATACACACACTGCTACCTGTACACTCATTCCCCCTTCCCCATCATCTTTGATCTTTTCATGAAAAGTTCTGTGGATAACACTATCTTGCAAATAGTAAATTTGAAAAAAAATGCTAGAAAAGGATTATCAAAACATTAATTTCATTGAAATTGTGTCTTGCCTATTACTAAAACATCTTTTTCTTTTAGGTGTTTCCTATGACCTTTGAGTTAGACAGAGTTAACATACTTCCAGATGAGGTCACTAATGACTACACACAGGTATATTGCCCAGGAAACTCCCGGCCAAGAAAACGTCGTCATACCTCACCCAACAAACATATACGTGACTGGAGTATTGAAAATGCAACCAGCCATCTTGCGTCTTCCGCTTCAGTTGTAAATCTGAACTCTGAAAGAAGTTTTCATTTGTGTGATGAAATTGTTGTTCATATTGAAGCCCGCAACTTGTACGGCAAGCCTAAAAAATATGGTGGGGATTATTTTCGTGCAAATATTTATTCTTTATCAGAGGCTGCGAGTGCAAGTCCGAATGGTGACGTTATTGATAACCAGGATGGAACGTACACTGCATATTTTACAGCATGGTGGCCCGGCACTGTAATTGTACAGGTCACTCTGGTTCATTCCAGTGAGGTCGTGCAGTTAATTAAAGATGTGCGTGAAAGACACCCTCAACGATTTGTTTATTTTGGGATGTATGCAACACCCGAGTTTGACATTCATGAAGTGACCAGGTGTCATGTACATATTGAGGCTGAAAAGGTTAGTTAATTTCTGTACTAGTACCTTAGGAGTGTTGAAATGGGGATGATTTGGAGGGTGGAAGGATGGGCGTGAAAGTTAAGTGGGAAGCTTGAAGATTAAGTGAAAGGGATCTTTAGCTATTTGAGCATAATTTTTTTGCTCGAAAATTTCCAGTGCAGGGGCAAATAATGGAGTATGCATGTGTGTATTTGGAGACAATAATAACTATCACATTGCCTCAAATTGTGTGACTTGCAGTCTTCATCGGCAGCCTTTTGACGGAAGTCAGTTGAGTCGGGTCAGAAGGTGAATACTGTAGGCCTCGCTAAACATTTAGTCCCCTTTTTTACTACCCAACTATATTTCATTAATGTTTTCTAGGTTTGTAATTTTACTGATAAGAAGACTGGATCACCTTGGTTCTGCGAAGCACCAACTAATCCATTATTAAGTTGTTCAGATTGGACGATGCACACGACGAACAGCACTGTGGCCAAGCAGGTTGCTGATGGCCTAGTTACATCAGAGCAGGCTAACCTCTTCAAATTACAGTAAGAAAATTAATTGACACTTAATGTACAATGCTTCTTTTACAGTACGTACTACTATATGAATTTGACATAAAATAAGTAATAAATATTCCTTTACTATAATGCATAATATATAGTACAGTATTATAATTATTGTATATTGACACTGACTTTAATATACATTATTACTGTACATTTCTCTCAGTTCGCCATATTTCTTTTTTTGTTTTTTTTTATGTAGATACAAATTCCCATTACAGTGTGTGGATTATTATGCTATTATCAAGGATGTTCCAGGTATGTTAGCTTACAGGTTGTATTTTTATATTATATTTATTACTTACCTGTAGGTTTAAGGAATTGGCCACTAGAAAATGAAGTTGAAATCTAGCTGGAATTTGGTTTTTAAAAATTTATTATATTATGGTGTTATGGTGTAACACATTATTATGCATGTTTAGAGAATGCTGTGGCCACTAAACGGATTTGGTTGCGGTGTCGGAGTTCCCTGATGAGTGGTCCAAGGCTCCTCATTGCGTCTAAAATATAAATTAAATGAGAGGTATATGAGGGTTTACAAAAATGAGATGGTTCGATGTAATATAAACAACTGTATATTTTGTAATAATCTTCTATCAACCACTTAAATAAATAATACATTAACTCTAATCATAATTGATGTCTAATCATATTGGTGAAAAATAACTTACAGTAGTTCTTTAAATGTTAAATGTCATTTTCTACTAAGTTTTTATTATTTTATATAGGGCTCTGCAACTAAAAGCTTGCTTATTCGCAGAGTTCCTTTTTCACGAATTGATCATTTCCTTGTACTTATATTCTCTTTATTATTATGAATTATCATCACGTAATGTACAAATTGTTATATTTTATGACTAAAGTGAAATAAATATTACTTGAATTGAAGGTCCATGGTACACCAACCTCCAGCTTTACAATGGAGGGAGTAGATTAGTTGTGTCCCGATTATCAAATTTTCTTTGACAAAAAAATGTTCTACGTCCATATATATAGTCATGATGTTCCTATGTACTATATATGGTCATGATGTGATGTCATCATGGCCATATTTAGGCATGTCATATATTTAAATGTGTGTGTGTGTGTGTGTTTCTTTTGTTTAAGGATTGATTTTCTGAAGCAATAAATTAGTAGCTATTAGCAGAATCCATTGAAACGTTCTGTGTTAAATTACTTTCTAGGGGTGTTTTTTTTAAATTATAAATGGCCAGTGAAAATATGATATTATTAAATAGTAAATGATTTATTACAGTATTTATATTTTCGTTTTGCAGCTGAAAAGAAACTTATTGCTAGGAATTATCTACCAAAATGTATTCCCGGTCTTCCACTAAAAAAACCATCAGGGTATTACCACAATGATGTATGGTATTCCAACATCTGCCGCACCCATCAATTTACCATCAAAGAGGCAGAGTCTTGTCTTCGTAACAAGGATCTGAAGTTCTATGGCGACTCAACACTACGACAGTGGTTTGAGTTTCTTACCGCAAAACTCAGTCACACCATAGAAACCACAGATGTACTTTACTACATGAAAGTTGGCCCTAGAAAAGCATTTGACTCTTCTCGAAATATATCTCTTTATTACATACATCATGCGTACCCAATAAGAAACAGTTGGATGTACATCAACGAAATTGTTTATGCGGCAAATGCAATTGATGCGCTTCCTGCTTCTCCAAACATTGTTATTTGTCTCTCCTTATGGGCACATTTTACTGCAACAAGTATCGATTATTATCGATCGCGTCTGCTTACAATACGAGCTGCAATTGAGCGGTATCTGGCCCGTAGTCCAAGTAGTTTATTTGTTATCAAAAGTGCAAATACGCGTGAACATCCAAACCTTTCCATGAGTTTGTACACAAGTGATTGGTTAGCAGAAGAACTGGATCAAGAAATGCGAGATATATTCTCTGGATCTCCAAATGTTGTCATCATAGACGTATGGGACATGACAGCGGGCCATATCTCAAAAGACAGGGTTCACCCACCAGAAATTATTATAGCTAATGAAATTAATATATTGTTATCTTATATTTGCCCTCAGTATGGATAAAAGTACTTAATCTTTATAACCAGCCCTCTGAAGAAGGTTCTCAAGTGTAAGCTCATCCACTAATCGAATGTACTGTACCTCATAACAACATTTTATTGGTAAATTCAAACGGTACACAGTACAATATTTTTTACTACTTCCCTGTTACATATTTACATGTGGGAAAAGTACTATCTGATATGTGAACTGAACTGTTTAATTTTACCATCATAGATTGAAATGGCTAATGTAGATTGAAAATTTGTTGTTCAATATTTATGAGGTTATAGTACAACAAATTCAACATGGTATTATTTTGGTAAAGTAGTGAATTTGTACAGTACTTCCCTGTGTGTCGTCCAACACCTCGGAAAGTAGAATTCACTACTTCATTTCACAACATGTTGTATTTGTATAAATACTATGATATGATCTTCTACTGGCAAATAGTTTCAGGTATTTGTTTGTTTCAACTTAAATATATACAGCAATATAATTATTAATGTTACATTTTGTGAGAAAATTAAAGATTGTGCTATATGTGATTTTAACCAAAACATTTAAAAATATATATTTAATTTTTTGACATTCTACTTTGAAAGAGAAAATGTTTTCATTGCTAAGGCGAGACTTTTTTTATACTTTGTTTAGCGAACCCGCTGACTGCAAATATTGATGATTTCGAATAAAAATAATATTTTATTTTTGCCCAATTAGCACACCCGCTGCCATGAAAAAGTGGAAATTTCAGAAAAAATAAAAGTTTTTCTTTATTTTTATTACACCCTCCACTGCCTTGAAATTTCCAAAGATAAGATATGTTCATTCCTTCCTAATTATATAAATTTGAAGCATTTAACCATCCTATTTTACATTCACCAATAAATTTATATTTTTATTTTCTCCTCCATCTGGATGATTTTGGCAAATCTATTTGCTGTATAAGAAAACAAAATTTTATTTTTATTTTGATTCCGCCCTCCTCTGATAATAATTATGTTAAACAAGGAATAAAAAAAGTCTTGTCTAATTCTTAATATCTTGCAATGTCTTTAACACCAGTCATATAGAAATACTAATTAATTAATTTGATAATTAAGGCTAATGGATTATAGGGATATTGTTAGTAAATGTTATACAGGTATTGTAAGTGGATTACAAAGTTAATTAAAAATAATAAGCATATATGTATTAAGTACGGATATATTATCTTAGAATAATAATAATAATCAGTAATAATAACAAAATATATACTGTATAATAATGTGCCATTTTCAAATATGAACAGATGTGTAGTTTACCCCTAGTGCTTGTACTGTACAAATATGATTTTAAATTGAATGTGATGTGGTTGTATTAAATATAAAAACTTACTCTGTATACTTTAGTAACTTTTAAAGTGCCATGGCCAAGTTATGAATGCATAAATAATTACTTCCTTTTTTTTGGCAAGGCTAGTGTATCAATAAAAGGATTTTAATTTGTGTATGATTGAAAGTCAAAAACTTATTGACCGTTTTTTAATGGAACAGTGGTAATGGAGCACTAATAATGCTATAAATATAAATTCAATTACATTACATTATTAAATGTTTTAATTGAATTGTGGATGTTCCTATATGTTATAAAGGAATGAGAGAATGTGAATGTATTAACTTAATTGGACTGGTTTACATTGAACTTATGTATAGTTATCTAGGCTTATGTTTTTTATTATTTAGAAAGTAGAAGGCTGAGTATTTACCATTAATAATAATTTGAGGCTGTTATTGTTTTATACAATTTTTTTTATGTCTACTTAATTATCACCATGGTTCTACCATGGTTATATTGCTGGTCTATAATTATGTGAACCATTGCTATACCTGCTGTCCAATCAGTTTGGTGGGAAGTGAATTTGGGGCAGATTATATTTTGGTCTACAGGTCTATCATCTGTCAATATGGCTTCCTGAAATGTAATGATAGAAAACAAGACTTTTTACAGTATTATGACAGTACTTGATTATTGTAGAAGTGCACTTTATGATATATTTATTTATTTCATCTTTTATTTCAGAATTTTATATCCATAGAATAACAAAACATGATACAAAGTATTAACAAGAAAAAGTGGAAAAACAAATGTTTTAAAACTAAATGTTTTAAAACTAGTTTCTGTTATGGTTTTGCAATAATTAATGAGAATGTGCAATACAGTGTATTCATAATACTGTATTCGTATTTGTGATCCAACTGTACAGTTAGTATGGGTGCTTTTCAATGTTATTAGAGTGGTGGCTATTTTAAGCCCAATGTGATAAAGTATATACTGTACTATAATCTACTACCGTACTCTCGCGAATAAGCGCCCGTTTGAATAAGCGCCCCTCTCGAATAACCGCCCCTCCTAACCTGAAAATTTTCTTAAGCACCCCGTTTGAATAAGCGCCCCTTCTAATTTGAATAAACGCCCCCCTCAATAACTCAATCAATCCTGGACTGTGTGGATGTTGGCATGATTTGAGGTGTGGAGTGGAATCACATTCTCCTTTAGTCAATATCAAAATGAGGATATTTATCTTGGAC